ATATAGGTGGAAATGAAAATGGAACACAATGGATCAGGCCAATATAGACCCATCATGATCAAAACAGACCTGTCAAATTGGTCCAAAAAGTCTAATCTAGTCTAATATGCATAAAGGGTTGTACATACGAATTGCTTAGACATTATTATTGACATGGTCACAATATTTATCACGAAAGTCACTATATTTTATTTATTTATTTTTTGATTTTCATACCAAAATGTGATGTTAACAAATATTGATACATCTGTATGTGACATCATAAGAATGTCACCTCAACTAACAACGAGTTAAGTGAGTAAGGCTGGAGGGTATGTGGAACACTCTTCTCATTTTTTCTCTGCTACGTCATCATTTCCTTCACCAAAAGCTAGGGTGTGTACAGGGAGTTTCCTTCACTCTTTAAAATAATAATAATAATAATTGATTTTGATGATATATATATATGGGAAAAGTGAATATACCTAACAACCTTATATAAGCTTAGGTACCTAACCACATTATACTACATTGTTTTGCATTGTATTTCCATTGCAATCGTCTAAGGTTCTTAAACTTCAACTCTTAACTTGATTTACTTCCAAGATTTTCAGACATTCACCATCATATTCTTCCTATACCATTTGATTTGTAACGCAATATATGAAGCCCACCAGGGGGTCTCCGATAAAAAGACGTCATTTGAAGGAAGATAATGGTGAAAGTCCAAAGATTTTGGAAGCAATCAAGTTATGAGGTTGAATTTTAAGAACTTTGGGTGGTTACAATGCAAATATGATACAAAATTATGTAGTATGATGTGGTTAGGTACCTAAGCTTATATAAGGTTGTTAGGTATATTCACTTTACCCTATATATATATATATATATATATATATATATATATATATATATATATATATATATATATATATATATATATATATATATATATGGAAAAAGTGAATATACCCTTAAGGGTATATATGCTTACGTACCCAAACACATAATACTATTTCAGTTTGTATTATATATATACATTATAATTGTCAAATGTTCTTATAATTCAACTTATAACTTGATTTACTTTCAAGATTTTTATAAATTTCACATTTATCTCCCTCTTACATAATTTTTATTTTCAACTATAATATATATAGCCTAGTAAGTGTTTGACAAAAAGATGTGATGTTAGGGAAAGATAATAGTGAAATTTCGAAAATCTTAATTGTAAATCAAGTTAAGAATTGAAGTTAAAGAACATTATAATGAATATATCAAACAAAACGACATATTATGGCAGGTTTGGGTACGTAACCTTATGTACCCTTAAGGGTATATTCACTTTTCCATATATATATATATATATATATATATATATATATATATATATATATATATATATATATATATATATATATATATATATTAAATGATTAATAAACACAAAAATTTATTAAAATTAAAAATCACTTCTTTAATTATAATAAAATTACATAAAAAAACTAAGATTTAAATAACCAGAAAAAACCTAACTACATCGTAAAAATACATAACGATCTACGGAAAATATTTTTTTTCATAATCTTCTCATTTTTCTTCTTCAAAACCAGCTTGAGAGACGGTCTCGAAAGATGATCGGTGTTTTCCATCAAGAACCTCATATCATCCATTTCTTGTTTCTCCGCGAACTCCTTTTTCTTTGTTGGAAGCTAAACATTCAGCGAAATTAAGATTATATCGATCAAATGTCTCCGATAATTTCTGTATCTCGTCCGCATCCATGCTGAAATCCGATGCACCCGAAAAAGTCTTATTTCCCTTCCTTTTTGCTTTGTCCCTTCCCATCGGTCGGACAATTTCTTCTAGCTTAAGTTCGTCCACCTCATTTAAATCTAGACCTACCCGAGCATCGACGGAAGTTGTGTAACCACTAGAGCCCGTTTTCGTTCGCTTTGATTGTTGTACTCCAAGTATAAACTCTTGCTCGCATTTTTTCTACCTAAGACTTCTAATCAATACTTTCCAACAATCGTGTCACGTGAATGACTTTCCCGTTTCTTCTAGATAAAAATGCAAAGCTTCTTGAAGTATTTCTTCATCTCCTTGGCCGCTTCTCTGTGAAAGATCTAGTATACTCAAGAGTCATATTAAAATAATATTGCTAAATAACATATGATCCTAAGGGTCACAGTAACAACAATTTGATACAATTGATTATTTATTAGAAATTGATTTTAAATAATATTTATAAACTCTTATAATAAATTGGAAAAATATTTATTTCAAGGAAATAATTATTTTATAATATAAGTAACACATTATTTCATAAGATATGAATTAATAAGTCATGTACAACATTTTGGACTAGGTGAGCTTTTTTTCTTTTAGCAAAAGACAAAGTTTATATTTTATAAACTTGGATTTATAAAATTTAAACTATTTCTTCTTTTTTATACATCATGACCGAAAATGCTAGGTTATAAAGGAAGAGTATCGTGTCTTCATTTGTTTAGTTAAAAGAATTAAACCTAGGGAGACACGTTCATCACATAGGGATATGGTAGTCTTAAAGTGCAAACACCTAATGGTTACAGATTTGGCTTTATGGCTTAAGAGGATATGACTTGCATTTGTTTTTCACTTCTTACTTGCAATTGCCGAAACATCTCTCTCTCTCTCTCTCTCTCTCTCTCTCTCTCCCCCTTTCTTATAATTTTGGATTAAGAATAAGTTGCTTGCATTATTTTGCTCTCTTGAAATTATTATTTGGTATTACTTGCAAGCTTAAGAGTTGCAACTAGCATTGCATCAAATTGATCATTGTTGGTGTCTTTTTGGGTTCAACCTTTCTCCATCAACTTCCTTGCCTCCCTTAAAGGATCCAAAGTTCATCAAAGATTGTTGTTTCTTATTTCTTCTATGGTTGTGCTTTAAATCTTTCTAGTACTATCAAGATGATCATTGGTGGGTCTTAAATTGTTTATGTTAATTATAAAACTCAAGTCTTCCATTTGCCATTATTTATAGTTTTGAAACTAGGTTCTAAATAAAACCCAACACTCCGTTGGGTTCTTAGGTTGTTGTATAGCCCGTTCATTTTTGAAACGATCTTCGCTATATCTCGAAACTTTGAATTCAACTGATGATTGGTACAATACTAGTCACCTTTTCCCATCTCCGCCCGAAACCTCTCTAGAATGCGAAGCCAACAAGATCCATCGGTTGTGTGTTTCTCGTCGACCGTCGTCGAATCCTTTGAAATGTCAACCCAAGATTTTACCATAATTAACTCTTCTTTGTGAAAGCCATGGTATCGGTCTCTGTCTTCTTGGTTGTGCAACAACCTCCTGCACATTTTTTTCCTGTGCGGCGTTGTGGGGTGGTGTGGGTTTAGTTTCTCGTACAATCTCTTCACCAAACTCAGCGATGTTTTTGTATTATGGTTGAGATCGAGAGGGTTGTGTTTGGGATTGGGGCTGGGTTTGGGTTTGAGATTGAAAGAATGGGATTTTAGTTTGTGGTTAATTAGGCGAATGTTGATCGGGAAAAATAACAAAGTTTGAGAACATGTTAGGAGTTACATTTGGAACTTGGATCGGGTAATATTGCCTAACATTTTGATATTGGAATTATAGTGGATATAAATAGGAGCATTGAGTTGGGGACGATAAACCCTTTGTGATGAATCGATAGTGAAAATGTTTTGAGTTGGGGTGCTTGAACTTGAAATGTTGGTTTTTTTTTTTTTCCTTCTATCAGAGAGACAGAGATTGGGGTTTGATTGTCGAGCTTTTTTTTGAAGAAGGTAAAGAGAAATTGATAGAAAAAGGTGTGGGTTTGAAGGTTAAAAGGTATGAGTATTCATCGATATTGTAGATGTTAATTTTTTTTTGGCATATAGCCGTTGAAAGCAAAAAAAGAAAAAAAAAAATATTTTTTTTTAATTTTCTACCGTTAAAAATCTGTCAAGTCACAAAAGATTTTTTTTTTTTTTGAATTCCAACCAATAGGAGGAAGAGATGATTGTTGAACTTTTTTTTGAAGAAGGCAAAAAGAAATTGATAGAAAAAGGTGTGGATTTGAAGGTTAAAGGGTATGACTATTCATCGATATTGTAGATGTTAAATTTTTTTTGGCATATAGGTGTTGAAAGCAAAAAAAGAAATAAAATATTTTTTTAATTTTCTACCGTTAAAAATCGGTCAAGTCACAAAAGAAAAAAATTCGGATTCCAACCAATAGGAGGAAGAGAGAGATTGCGGCAACCCCTCCCTCACCTCTTTCCCGCACGCCCTTTCCAACAAATCCTCGTACTCAATTAAATGATGACACGTGTCATATTAATATACTAAAATATCATTAAATTTCATTAATTGAACATTAAATGTTACACATGTCACTATTTAATTGGGTATGAAGATTTGTAGAAACAAAAAAATAGGAAATTTCTCTTACACAAATGATCATTCATTTGTTTCCGTGATCTTAAATTCTGGCATTTTAAGCTTATTATTAACCGTTTTTATAAAACAAGCTTTTTATCTTAAGGTGTTTTTTTCTCAAAGTAATATGATTTTTTAGACCAATAGACTATAAAAAAAAATTCACATTGCAATCGGTTACTATTTTTAATAACTTATATTTAATAATAATTTTATTATTGTATAACAAAAGTAGAGATATTTAATGGTTTCTTTTTCACATATGTAGCATTTATGAAATCTTACATATAATTTTCCAAAAATCGTAAACAATAATTTCATACGAAAACATTATTTAATGACACCGTACAATCATAAAATATAAAACCATCAAAAGAAAATTATCTGTCACTAACTAAAACTTTAAGAGCATCCTAGGAATGCTCCTAGCTAAATTAGCAACATCTTCCATAGAATTAAGTAAATGATTTAATGCACTTTGTGTTTTTGATAAAAAGCGTTTGAAAAAACTATAATTAAGTTAAAACCTGTAATAAACTCATTAACATATCACTTTATTTTTCATTATAACAAAACTTATAAAAGCATTCTAATAATGGCCCTTGCTACATTAGCCGTATCTTCCATATCCTTGTTCATATTTGTCAACGGTGATGTTTGACCATGCTGCTGAAAACTCCTCTCACATGCCTGTGATTCGGTAGTGGTATCGGCCATTCCATCCTCACCAAATTTAGGGTTACCAAGATTCAATGCATTAATCGTTAACGGCACATTCACACCTACTACAATTTTATACACATCTCCACACTGCATCAACGCCGGTGTTAACTCCGGCATAGACTTTTTGAGAGAATCGATCTGTTGCAGGGTTTTCACACCTTTGTTTTTTACCGCATCAACAACTATGAGTGCTAAGCCTGTTAAATCTGCATTTTGGCTCTTGGGGTTTGCCAATAAAATAGAAAGGCATAAATTGTTAGAGGGTGTGCCCTTGCATGTGTTTTCTATGAACTGTCTGTCTGCCATGGCTGAAAATAAGGTTTCTTGAAAAAAAAGAGCAAGAAAGAGAATGGTGACATGAGACATGTTCATCGTGATGAGTTAAAGGAAAAAACGAGTGATGGTTTAATGATTTTTGTGCTTATGATTACCAATTTATAGGAAGATTTTCTTTATAATTCAAAAAATGATGGAATTATTTTTTGTTGATATTAAATGACTATTAACTAATTATATGCAACACATTAATGTTTTCTAACCATTAATAGAATATATATATTTTTAAAAAACTTTCTATAAAATATACTCACTATCACAAAACATATATTTATACACATACTTAATTAGCGTCGGTGAATAATTACCCATTATGAAAAATAGACCCGTAAAAAATAATCGATATTCGAAATAGCCGCTCAACCCGTTTTGAATCGGGTAGATTAGGCCGGGTTATTCGGGTTTGGGGTATCTAATTTTGGGGAACTCAGTTAACCCGATTTTACAAAAGTTCGAATATAAGGTATGTCTATGGGATTTCGGGTATACCCAAATACTCGATTTAAAAACAATCATTTTTGTAATATGTACAAATTCTCTCTTTCATTGGAAAATAGATTTAATCAATTTATTATTCTACCCATTGATTTTAATTAATCTTTACAAAATTTCAAAAATGATCATTGTGATTTACAAAAAGTAGCAACTTAAGGATATCTTTTATTGTGGTAACACCCGTGTTCCTTGTGGTTTCAAAATCAAGCGCAGTTAGTCTTTTTGACTAACTTCATTAATAAGAATGGTTAAGTATATATGAAATGACAAATATACCGTTGGACTAAATTTAAAATATATAAAATACTACAATGACCTTTTCTGTAACTTTATTTTTTTTTCATTTTGTTTTTATTTAATTTCTTAAAAGAAAAAAGAAAAAAATTACCACACCCACCTCTCTCTTTCTCTCTATCTCTCTCTCTCTCTCTCTCCATATGGGTTTGTCATAACACCCAAGAACATCTTTGGGTACACAAATACATAGTTAAGATCAAACATCTTCATGAACAAATACACACATTATATTTTATGATTTTATTCTCCAAAACACACAAACATATGCACATATATACTCAAGAAAACACAAACATAGACAAACACTCAAGTACAAACCTTCAACAATGGAAGGTAAAATCAACCACTACCGTCTACAACTATCACCACCGATTGCCATCACCATCCGCCATCACCGTCTGCCATCACGACCTTCAACCGACACTATCTCCAACTAGATTACCTTATCTCCATCCTTCCTTCCTTCTCCCCCTCTCTTTCTCTCTCTCTCTCTCTCTCTCTCTCTCCCCCCTCTCTTTATCTCTCTCTCTCTCTCTCTCTCCAACTAGATTACCTCACTTTTATAATCGTTATTATGAATCTATACATAAGATTTCTCAGTGATTCCAAGTCGTTATACTGATTGATCAACTTACGGGGGTGATGTGTGGGCAAGATTGAGATTTCCAAACAGTATACTTTGTATACCAAACGAACCCTACCTTCGATATGATCTTGCCTGATTGCTCCTTACGTGATAAATCTTGATGTAGATATTAGGATTGTTGAGGAATCTAGAATATCATTAGTCATAAAAAATAACAAACTAAGACTTAGTGATAATTGAACCTATGTCACATCAAAGGAAAGATTAATAATTTAGCGAAGCGTTGCCCAACTTTCCAATCATCCACTTTATCAAGTGAGTGCATAGTTACTTTCAACTTACACATAGATATCAAGTATTTAATTTTCTTAGATGACCTATGTTCTTATTAAATGTATTCCCGATATTATGCTAAAGGAGATCATGATTTTATTTGCAATAAATTAAATATACTTATATTGTATTGGGTAAATAGGGTGGAGAGAGAAATAGATGAGATAATAGTAAGAGACCATACCATAGATAAAATAATGGTGAAAGACCATACTAGGGATAAAATAGTGGTGAGAGACCATAATAGATATAATATAATGGCGAGAGACCATGCCCAACTGAGAGTAGTCATCTAGCAGAGTATTGATGATGACCACAGACTCTCTATACAGTCCAGTGGAACACTAGCAAACTCGCAATATGTAGGTGTTAATGAATCATACTATCCGGGAGTATAGATTGTGTGTTCATTTAAGTAATCTTTCCCCCTCATGGTTGCCTTACAAACATGCATTTCTAATGAATCCCCAAAGTTGTGTTGCATTCTCGTTGTTATAGAGACCATTTAGGATAGGACCCTTGTGATTGTCATTTTAGTATTAAAGAGTGAGAATCATAGGATTAAATCTATTTGGCATGTTAAAGTATACTTTAAATAATATAATAAATTAATAATTATATTGTGGGTTGAAAACCCTATGTACTCATCAGGCTCCCAAGCCTGACCCACTTACTTTCTTTGTATAACAGGTAGCGGTATGAAGGTACAATAAGTTAATCTAAGTCCTATAACGATCACATTTATGCTTAGGTTTCCTTGAGTCGTTCTTTTATTGATTCAAGTTTGTTGTTTACTGGAGATGCTAATATAAGGTGGAATCTTTGATTCCAATCAATATTACTATTTTCTTATTGGGATGCAAATCTCTTCATTGGATGGTGACTTGGAAGTCTCCTTCCCTATTCGATATAGTAGGCTTCTCTGTGAAGCTTGAAGGCGCTTCTTGTGACATACACATTTTCACGACCAAAAAAGACCGATTTGTTTATGATTTATTTAAAGACCAGAGTATCTTTTTGAAGAAATATGTTGCAAAATTTGTTCCCAAAAATATGATAAGTAACTTATCAAAGCATTCCCGAAGGAATGTATTTTTAATATATTAAAAACCTCTGGATGTTGTTATCAATACATATCAAAATCATAAACAGAAACAATATAGGCCTTACAACATTCTATTTATTTCTAATGGCCTATAATCCATTGATCTCTCATCTGATCATCACTCATGTGCTCTCTTGCCACTACATGTAATGCAATAAACTGAGTGGGTCAGGGTTGTGAGTCTGGTGAGCACATATGGTTTTCAACCCACAATAATTAAGTTTATTAATTTCATCAATCAATCCACCAGATTACCCGTTCCCGTTATCCTCACTTTCTGTCCCTAAAACATCTAATTCAAGGGGACCTAACCTAAGGATTTTCATCGGGATGACAACACTGCTTAGGGGATTCCTCAGCAATACATGCCAATAAGGCAAACATGAGGCGGATGGAGTATACATGGTGAGCACTTAGTTCAAAAACACCTACAGGTTGCGAGCCTACCAGTGTTCCACTAGACTGTCTATAATAGTTCATGGTCGTCATCTATGCTTCGCTAGATGACTAAATCAACTTAAACATCGAGACCTCTCATCAACTATTTCATCTACCCATGTTCTACCCAACATATTCATGGATATAAAATACATATACAGTTTAAATCATTTAAAACATGTATAAATCGTTCATCTAACATAGATATCAGGAACACAAAGAATATACACATATAACACATAATTTATTTTAAATACTTCATATCTATGTGTAAATTGAAAGTAACTATGCACTCACTTGTTAAAGTGATGATTCCCAACTCGGGCAACTCTTCGCTTCTAACAATTCTATTTTCCTTCGACGAAACCTAGTATCGTTACCAGTAGAGTTTAGTCTAATATTTATTTAGACTAATTATTAGCTCTATGAGCGATATTGTTTTATAACTGTTAAACAATACTTTTCAACCACTATGTACAGATAGGAGCCAAACATGAAACATCGGAGGGGAGGACCATTTTGGCATTATAACACTTCTGAAATCCAACAACCCTATGCAGCCCTTCAAACCAGATTCCCTGTACCGCAAGTAGTTAAAAGATATTATAATAACACTTTGTATATTATATTTTATAGTATATATATATATATATATATATATATATATATATATATATATATATATATATATATATAGTTTATAAGTTCATAATAACGATAATAAATTTAAATCTAAGCTATACTTAAAGTAGGGTAAGTATAACTCACTTACCGGTAAGTATGGCTAAGAACCGGGCTTTGCGGGGGTAGAAATTCCGAGCCGAAAAACTCTTTTTCTCAGAGCCTCCTGGCGCTCCGGGACTTTCCTTTAGAACTTAGAATTTATTAGAGTTTTGGGAGGGTTTTAGAGAGAGAGAGAGAGAGAGGAAGAATGGTTGTGGTGTGTGATATGGGCATATTTAGCTATAAAATTCATGCATTATCTTAATACTTTATGTTGTTTTTGTCTCATTTAATGAAAAAAAGGTGCTTAATTAGTTTAGAATTTTATTTTTCAGCAATAATGACATGCTCGAAAGGAAAACGAAGCGGAACTAGCTACTGGAAGCTTGGATCTTGGATTTTGAAGAAAGAAGGATGTTGCTGGATAGCTTGACCCCTCATTAGTGTTTTGGCCATATCTCATGAACCGTAACTCCGATTGACGAGATTCAAAATGTTCTGAAAAGTAGACACAATTTCGGACGACTTTTGTGTTTTGAGAAAATGCTGATTCGAAACGTACTCGGCGAGTAGGGTCGATTACTCGCCGAGTTGGTCAGAAGTTTCGCGATTCTGGACGCGCTGGCTTGCCGTACACGGGTTTTAAGTGATGGACTCGCCGAGTAGGTCACTGAACTCGCCGAGTAGCCCCTGTTTTGTGAAAATCTATATAAAGGGACTTTCAGATCGATACCCTAGCATGGAGATGAACCCTTGGAGGCCAATTGTCGACTAAAGGTGCTGTTGGAGCGTGGGAAGCAAGGGAATCAACCCTACATTTAATTTTTAGGAGAATCAAGTCAAAATCAAGTTTACTCTTACCTAATCTCTTGTTTGAACTATGTTTTTACCAATTGATTTCGTTTTTGTGCTTGTTTCCAAGGTAATCATGAGCTAAAAACTCATAACTTCTGTTTAGGTAGATGAATTTGTGAACATTGATTGATTATTTGA